CAAGCAGTTGCAGAGTTTTTTAGGGTTTGCCAATTTCTATCGCCAGTTCATCCCATCCTTTGCCCAAGTGGCCCTTCCACTAACCGACCTCTTACATGCAAAACATCTCACGACAAACCCTCGATTGGGAAGCCCAGTTGTGTGAACAAAAGCGGGTCAGCAAGCCTTTGAGTGCCTGAAATCCTTGTTTGCACAAGAGCCAGTACTGAAACATCCAGAACCCACTAAACCATTTGTGGTTCAGGCAGATGCCAGTGATGTGGCCACAGTCCTCTTACAAAAGAACAATGAAGGAGTCCTACAGCCGTGTGCCTACATCTCGAGGAAGTTGACAGGGACCAAACGCAACTGGTCCATTTGGGAGAAGGAGGCATTCGCGGTCTGGTGGGCCCTGTTGACATGGCGGCATTTACTAGAAGGGGGAGGGATACCCTTCGAGGTCCGGACAGACCAAAAGAATTTGGAGGCCCTCCAGACCCCGTGAAGATTGTCGCCAAAACAAGTTAGATGGGCCTTATATTTTTGGTGATTCAACTTCCAATTAAAATATGTATCGTGGGGCAAGAACTTCTTAGCCAATGCTCTCTCTCGCAAACCACAGTATCACAATAAAAGGGAGGATCTAGTGCAGGCTATCATCCCAACCTCACAGCCTAGGGTGTTAGCCACTCAACAGGACTCACCAGCACCAAACCTGTATGCCCAGGGGGAGGACCTCTCCAGAGCAATCAAAGCAGCACCCTCAATGGACCAGTGGTTTCAAGAAAATCAAACATTGTTAACACAGTGAGAGGGCTTTGCCTGGAAGGGGTCGAAGTTATACGTACCAAGTGTGGTACGGGAGGCCATGCTGCGGCGCTGCCACGACGTTTGTTCGGCTGGACATTTTGGGTTCCTCAAGACTCTGCATTTAGTAAATTGCCAGTTCTGGTGGCCCCACATGAAGCGGGACATAGAGGAATATGTGAGGAGTTGTGTTGTTTGCACTACCATAAAGGCCCCGACTGGCTGGCCTCCGGGTCTTTTACAGCAGGTGGCAGATCCGATTCGGCCATGGGAACACATAGCCATGGACTTCATCGTGGATTTACCGGGCAGCAAAGAGAACAAGGGTTCGCAATTTGGGAGTCCTCCTGGANTGAAAATATGTAGCGTCCATACAATCACATCTCCAGCATTTAGGTTGTAAATTCAAATACATAGAAGCCATTTTTGGGGGATCTAGATGCCATCTTTAAAAGCAATACAGGCTACTTTTGATGGTAGCCCAGGACGAGGGGCCCTCTTCTTAGGCCAGGTGTTAAATCACATAGATTGTTACGGCCATATGTATACGTCGCAGTGGGACTTGGTGATGGCTGTGATAGCAGTGATGGACGGAGGGGCTGCTGACTGGGTGGCTGATCTGTATGGGGATCATGCTGTGGAACTCGGGGACATTGGTCTGTTCCTGATGCCACTGCGAGAGAGGTTTGAATCCAGCAGGATCCAGCAGGCGGAAGCGGAATTGAGGGCTACAAGACAACAAGGGAAGCCAGTAGCTGAATACATCAGAGAGTTCCGGTGTCTGGCAAGCAAAGTGAGGATGTGGCCAGAGAGGTTGGTGGCCCATGACTTTAAGGTCGGTCTTCAACAAACACTACACCTGGCCTGCATCTACAGAGGGTTGCCACCTAGACTGACTGCATGGTTCCAGGCCACCACGGAATTAGCTATAGAGTTCCACGAGGATAAGCCAGGTAGGGAGTGGGGTAGATGAGGACAAAGACGGCAACAGAGGCATCCTATCACAGTTGCCCTGAAAAGCCCGCAACCCACAGCGGTTTCCATGGGGAAACCTTCATCCCCAATGGCTGCTGGACTGACAACGCCCATCTGGCCACCCATAACATGTTTTTGATGCAGGAGGCTGGGGCATAGAGTGTCAGTCTGCCATGAGACCGGTCCTACAGTGTCCATGAGCACACCAAGGAAAAAAAAGGTGGTGGCCAGGATGAGTGTGAGGGACAGCCAGGAGAAGTCACACGGGACAAGTCAACCAGTTCCTATACCAGTTGACTCCAGTCCATCGGGTGATTTGCTCAATACTGGTGGAAGTGACTGGGGGGAGGGTTCCGACCCGATGATAACTAAGCCTATCAAACCGTTTGTGTTACAGGTAGTGGTGGAAGTGACTAGGCAATGACAATGTACAGCTCTGATCGATTCAGGGTGCACTCGTTGCTTAATGAATGCCACAGTTGCTGATAATCTGGGGGTGGGCCTCAGGAAGCTGGCTAGGCCGATCCGTTTCGAACAGATGGATGGGTTGGTATTGGGGGGCCAACCAGCCACACATGTAACACAAATCAGGTGGTATTGCAGATAGGGCCCCATCGGGAGGTCTTGCGGTTTGTATTGGTTCCAAACATTACAGAGAAGATTGTACTAGGCCTGGCATGGTTGGACAAATGGGGACCCATGATATGGTGGAGTGGTGGTAGTAGGCATCTCAGAATAGGCCTCAGTCCTGACCCCCTCCTCCTCATGAGGTGCAAACCACAGCCCAGGACACAGTGGGATTGCGAGCTACAGTGCCGTCAGTTCATACAGCTGGAGAGGAGCGATTTCCTCAGGTATACGCAGACTTACGAGATATATGCAGCGAACAGGAATGTGATACTTTGCCCCCTCACTGCCTCAAAGATTGTGCCGGGGAACTGCTCCCCGGGGCTAAACTGCCAAAGCCCCGGATGTATTCTATGACTCCGCAGGAGCTAACAGAGATGAGGGCATATATAGAAAAGAATTTAAAAAGGGGCTTCCTTCAGCCAGCTAGATCAAGGGTAGCTGCCCCTGTTCTGTTTCGGGAGAAAAAGGATGACGGCTTACGCCTCTGTGTTGACTTCCGGGGCCTTCATGCGGTCTGTGTAGAACATCTATACCCTCTTCCTTTAATGAAGGGCATGCTGGCTAGGTTAGCGGAGGAATGTATATTCCCAAAATTAGATCTCAGGGAGGAGTACTATAGGGTACGCATTTGGGCTGGTGACAAATGGAAGACAGCCTTCAATTGTCCTCTGGGAAGTTACCAGTTCTGGGTTATGCCCTTCGGACTGCAAGAAGCCCCAGCGGTGTTCATGCAGTTAATTAACGAGGTACTGCATGAGCTTCTATATCAAGGAGTACTCGTCTATTTAGACGATATCCTTATATATACCAAGACCATGGAGGAACATGTAACTCTGGTATATCAAGTGCTTAAAAAGCTGCTGGACACACATTTATACATCAAATTGTCTAAATGTGAATTCCACAGGACGCAATTGGATTAACTTGGGTTCCGTATTTCACCTAAAGGGGTGGAAATGGACCTCGTGAAGGTAAAGGCGGTGTTGGACTGGCAGGCTCCTAAAACCCGCAAGCAGTTGCAGAGTTTTTTAGGGTTTGCCAATTTCTAT